GATCCCAGGACTCTGGGATCATGACCTGAGCCAGAGGCAGATGCTTCATCGACTGACCCACCCAGGTGCCTCTCAAAGAGCAGCTTTGTCATATTCTCCAAATCATCAAAAGCTGTCTTGACCTTTGTGCTTTTGCCTTCGACTTTACATTTTTTTGTACATTTGTACATTTTTGAAATTAATTGCAAATTATGATATTTCTTTTCCTATCGAGCACTGCAAATGCTGGGAGACAAGTGAGCATGCAGAAGAGGGGACAGCACACCAGATTTTTAATTTCTGTGGTCAGCAAATGCTGAGCGGGTGAAAGGTGTTAAGTTTGAAGTTAAAATTAGTTGTGAATTTCAAAGTGGTTTTAGAGGAGTAACGTATGTTACGTGTATGTAAAGAAAAGTCAAATAGGTTTTGATTTTTATGCTAAGAAATATGTGGGAGGTGCCAGTAAGAGCCCAAATGCCAGCTTAAAGGTCCCAAAGAGCCCTTGGACTGATAGTTGATGGATTTGGGTAGGGCGGCCGTCACTCACCTAGCTCAGATCTCTAACATTACATAATCCAATATAGTAATGAGCAGAGTTTCCAGCAGTGGTTTGTCTTTCAAGTGAGTAGCCTGGGTGGTTGGAGATATGAAATGCTCTCTCCTTCTTTCAGACAGCCTCATCACGCTCCGGGAGTGGGAGACTGTCTTCGGCAGCAATTGGGGTCACGTCTTGCATGGACTTTAACTGCAAACCAGCCTTCTTCACAAACCACTACCTCAAAAGGTCTCCCAAACGCTGTTTCTCGCAACATGACAAGACCAAGGAGGGAAGGGGATGCAGGTGGTGAGTAAAGATAGACTTCAGTGTAGATTTTCTTGGCATATTTAGAATTTATGCTTCCCTTATTTTAAAATACTGATGAGGAGTCCTTGCTTGCAATTGTTGAGTGGTGGTGGTTCTCATGAGGAGAGGTTCGGAATCCTAAGTGTGGTCTGACATGGCTCGGGAAGTCTGGCAGTGCCTGGGACATTGGAGAAATGCATTGAAGATTTCTTTGGTGGCTAAGTGGACACGTGGAGAGTTTTAAAGCTCCACTAGATCCCAAAAGGAAGCTTGAGTTTCTTTCAAGAGAGCCCTGTGAATAGCAGTGTTTGGAACATAAGCATCTGAGAATAGAGGAATGGGCTTTATTGTTGGCTCCTCATCTGCAGGTTCTGAAATCCCTCTGGCTGCTGTCTGTGCTTACGTGGAAGGTGAGGGCCGGGTGTCTCGTGTGCGCCTGGGGACACGGCCCGGAGCGCGGAGCCCGGCCTGTGCAGCTGCACTTCCCGCCTCTGTCTGTCCCGTAACATGGGACAGCTTGGGGGCGCTTTGGCTGGGGGACTGGCATCCAGACAGTAAGAGTGCCCTTCTCCGCTCCTTTCTGTGTGACTCCTGATCTCTAGCCAGTGCCTTCAAGCCTGTGTAATATACAAAGCTAACAGATAAAGTACATCACAGTGTACTTATCAATCCAAGAGAGCAGGACAGGACGTGCAAAGCTAGAAAGAAGAGCAGGGTGAACAGGAAACATGCTGCAGTGGTAAATTTAAACCAGTCATGTCCGTAGTCACATGAAATGTATATGGATTAGACACTATTTAAAGGACATTTAAAAAATTCTACTTAAACAATTACGTACTGCTCAAAAGAGATGAATTCTAAATATAGAGCCCCAAGTAGGTTGGAAGTAAACGGGTGGAGAAATACATCTTGTAGACACTGACTGCAGGAAGGTGGGGGCTGTGTCTCTGTCGACGGAGACTGTGCTGCGAGTGTTGCCAGGGCCAGAGGGACGTTCCAGACAACGAAGGGGTCCGTTCTTCGGGAAGAGATGATACTCCTGAGTGCATATTCACCTGCTGACAGAGCTTCAGTCGGACAAAGGAAAACTAACAGCCCCACAGGGAGCGCAGACGGACCCACAGTTACAGATGGATATTCCCACTTCTCTCTTAGTAACTGATGGGAAAAAGTAGACAGACCGGTCCATAATGATAGGTAGGTAACATTTGAACAGTTCTGCCAGCAGTTTGATGTAATTGGTATTTATGGAATACTCTCTCCACGACTGAAATACAAAGCTGTCCTCCCCTCTGACTCACTACCCTGGTTCTGGGAGGGCCGACCTTGCCTGTATACTCATTGCGTTTTTCCTCCCACTGATAACTTGAATTTCTGAGCGCTGCCTCCTTATCATTGGGTGACACCTAAAGTCTGACTTAGTTTGTTCCAAGGTTTATGGAAATCATAACTTTTCCACTCTATCCACTCCTCTTCATGTGGTTGAGAATGGACCTACATCTGTCTGCGTGCCGTGTAACAACCCAGTTTTCCAAATGCCGTCTTACGACATAATTACCCATCCCTTCTGATTGATTTGTGCTGTTCTTTTTTGTGTGTGTTGCTCCTTGATGGTATATTAAGCCCCCACATACTGCTTTGTTTGTTCATTTATTTATTTTTTAAGATTTTATTTTTAAGTAATCTCCACATCCAATGTGGGGCTCGAACTCACGACCCCGAGATCAAGAGACGCATGCTCCACCAGCCATGCGCTCCACTGCCTTTTTTTTTTTTTTTTTTTCCTTTAGGACTTTTTGTATGAGAAATTACCTGCTCTCCATATCCTTTTCAGAAAATTCTTGTTTCTTAGAACTTCATACTTTTTCCATCTTAGGCTCATTTTTTTTAGTTTTAAAATTTTGTCATGGTTGCAGATACGTAATGTAAAACCAGTTGCGTCCTAAAATCTATTCCATCTTAAAATGTGTTGTTTGGTAATTGCTCTCTTATAAAAACCATCTTTCAGGTGCTGGGGAAGTGACCGAAGCAGCCCTTGTCAGAGACATTTTGTACGTCTTCCAGGGCATAGACGGCAAGAACATCAAGATGAGCAACACGGAGAACTGTTACAAAGTGGAGGCCAAGGTACAGTGACTAGCCCCGCCACACCTGCTCGAGCAGGAGAGACCGATGTCAGCCAGGCCAGCTGGGAGCAGTGACAGGGTGGGATTGGGACAGCGGGGCCTGGATCTCCAAACCTGGCTGTGCCGGTCAGGTGCGCGGTCAGGGCCCAGTGTCTGTTTCCTGTGTGCTCCTGGCTCGCGGGCTCATGTTTGGGCCCTTCTCCGTCCGCGTCTGCCTCCTGCGTTCTGTGCCGTGGTGTCGAGAGGTGCCCGAGGGACAGGTACAGCGGGGCATCTTTGCTGTTGACACACAGTTCCAGATAGGGTGCTTCTGCTCTCCTGCGTTCACCTTCCAGAACCTCCTTTCCCACAGCCCCTTCTTGTTGCTGTTGCGGCCTTCTGCAACTCCCAGCTGTCGGAAGAGGTGGCTGAGGACACAGGCCCCTGCCGCGCTGGGGGTGCAACCAGTCACACCTCAGGGTGGTGCCGCCCGAGCCTCACATACGGAGGGCTCTTATTTCCCTTCCAGCACCTGGTGCTTTTGTTTCCCAGAATCTCGTTTTGTCTTTATTGATAGCGTATTAGTCACTTTTAGGTTCCGTGTTGGAACCTAAGAATTATACTGAAAGTACGAATGATTGACAAAAATAATAATTGAAATTCTAGTGTTAATTCTTAACTCTTAATATATTTATTTTTTAGGCAAACCTAAGTAAATCTTTGAGGGATACGACACTCAGACTTGCAGAGTTGGGATGGTTACATAATAAAATCAGAAAATACACTGACCAGAGGAGTCTAGACCGTTCATTTGGACTTGTGGGTCAGGTACGTTCATTGTTACCAGGACGTTTAGGACACCATTCGTTTTGGGGAGTGCTTAGTCTACTTAAAGTCTTATTATGAAAGTAATTTTTAAATAGAGGGTTCTTTTTAAATAAAGAAATTTTGATAATAGAACATTGTAGCCATCGTGTCCCCTTAGGAAAATAGAGACCACAGTGTGTATCGACAGAGATGACCAAATACTGCACATTGTTCATGGTAGCTGTTGGTGGAGTGTGAACACAGAAGAGTACGTAAATGCATTAAAATAAACCTACAGATGACAGATTGTGTATCGCTTTAAAATATGCAGAAAAGTGTGGAGGCTGATGTTTAAAGAAAACAGGTTTTATCCTTTGTGTGTTCTTCCCATTGAGTATGCCTGGGTTTACATCCTAGAGTTCATTCTAGAAAGTTCTTATCTCAGGACTATGTGAAGGTCTTTGTTACAGTTTGTGACTTGACACCTTTGCAGTATTTAAGATCACAGAGGTACGGTGAAGTTTTTAATAATGTGAGTGTGGGAAATGAACGGTAAAAACAGCAACAGTGAAAAATTGGGAGGAACTTGCATGGAGTTGCTAGTTCTTAAATTTTGCTAATTAAAAACATTAGCGAAACTTAGATTTTAACTCTGAAGATTAGAAGGAATGTAATCTTAAAAAGAGTGTTGTCTAAAGTAAATACGCTTTTAGCTGTGATCTGTTTTGTATTTTTTTTCTTCATTTCTTTTCTGCAAAGCTCGTGCTAAGGCATGACACCTCCCTGACGTTGTTGACTGTAGATGTGGTGGTGACGGAGCCTGTGGAGGGCCGTTGATGGGATTTAAACCCTGCAGAGCACCCAAAGTGGTGATGCACTGTGCGCTCCACATGGGCCGATGTGCGAGGCCGTGTCCAGTGGGAGGACAGTGTTGCGCTTCATAATACCTACTTTTTCCTGCAGAGTTTTTGTGCTGCCTTGCATCAGGAGCTGAAAGAATACTACCGGTTGCTCTCTGTTTTACATTCCCAGGTAAACTTTGTATTTTAATTTCTTTGTGATTTGCAGTGTTACAAAATTGCAACTACATAGAATTTTTAAGTTTCTTCATAATTACTTTTAAAAGATAAAAATTTGTTTGCTAATAGTGTTTGTAAGGTCTGGATATCCGTGAAGTTTTGGTGTATTCCAGAGGCAAGTACTGCTCACAGCTGGGGTCCTTTTGCCCAGGTAAACATATCACTAGTAGCTTGAAGGAGCTGCTTTTCTTTCAGAGGGGACATTTGCTTCACGTGCACGTTACGTGGATTAAGAAACAATGGACCTATTTGGTGACTTGTACTTACACGTTACATCTTTATTGTTTCTCAGCTACAGTTAGAGGATGATCAGGGTGTGAATTTGGGCCTTGAGAGTAGCTTGACACTCCGGCGCCTGCTGGTTTGGACGTACGACCCCAAGATAAGACTGAAGACTCTTGCAGCCCTGGTGGACCACTGCCAAGGTTGTTCTGCGTCTCGTGGACCTGTTGTATTTCAGAGAGATTTTAGGGAATGTCATCTATGTTTATTTTTGCGCCTGCTCTCGTGTGTCCTTTCGAATGACGGCCATAAGTATGCCAGTTACATCCAAGCTAATAGGTAACTTACAGGGGAAATAACCAGTTGCTAACACGGCCCCATCTTTGTATTTGTGGAAGCTTAGTATTTCATTGAAATGAAGGAAGAAAGGAAAGGGTCTAGTTTTTCAGGATTTTGTGGTCCTCAGTGCTGTAACTATTCATCTCTATGCCTCTTTTGTTTGTCTCTGACCTAGCAGCCTTTCCTGGGGGTTTCCTCCTCCCAAGATTATGGCCCACGTCTAGGCTCACCAGCTGTGAGTTCCATGCTCTCAAGTGTGCATGTCTGGCTGAGGCCTCTCCTGGGCTCTTGGTCTGCATTTCTACTTGTCTTCTGAACATTTTTTCTCACTGTGCTACCTTGGCCAAGAACCTCTTTATCTTTTCTCTTTGTCTGTAATGCTTGGCCACTGATAGCCTCCACTTAGGATTGCGAGGGCTGAGTGAGACGTGTGAGATGCCCGTGGTCAGCCCCTAGGTCACGGCCCGCGTCTGCTGCCATCCTCCGGCTGGGTGATCCCAGGGCCAGAACTCTTAGCATGTCTGGATCCGACATCACCATGCCCTCCGTGCCCTGCCTCCCCCACCTCCTGGCACCTCCCCTCAAAAAGAGAAAGCAGTGGAACACCGTGAATAATCGTGTCTGTTTTTTCAGATGCTGAGCACCCCCATGTGGGTTCCTACCAGACTGCTCCTCTGTCTTCCCCTTTCACGGTTCACTTAACCCCTCCAGTCCTGGGCCTCCTGCTCCTTCGGCTGCTGACCTCTCTGCCCCTCCCTCACGCACTTTGGAAGCATCTCATTCACATCAGATCACATCAGCCCTTCCCTAAAATCTTTCAGCAGTCTAATAACTTCCCGAATTCTTAACACCAGCTTTTCTTGTGCTTGTGTTTCTGGACCTGCTTTTTGCCACTTCCAGGCTGCTGAGCTGTACCCCCAGGACACAGGGCCCCGTGGGGGTAGAGCCGGCTGCCTCACTGTAAGCCTCGGCCAGACTGGAGGGTGCAGCAGTTCCGCACATTGAGATAGCATATCACACCCGCAGGGAACAGGAGGGAGACAGAAAGCAGTAAAGTGCGAGTATTCTTCTGTAGAACTTCTATGGATATTTATTTGTGTCTTAGAGTGCAGTATCAAGTGTGAATCTTTTTTTTTTTTTTAATTTTTTTAAGATTTTATTTATATATTTGGCAGAGAGAGACACAGCGAGAGAGGGAACACAAGCAGGGGGAGTGGGAGAGGGAGAAGCAGGCTTCCCGCCGAGCAGGGAGCCGGACGCGGGGCTCGATCCCCGGACCCCGGGATCACGACCCGAGCCGAAGGCAGTCGCTTAACAACTGAGCCGCCCAGGCGCCCCTCAAGTGTGAATCTTAATGTGTGTCTCAGTCAGAAAAGGTGAAAGTTCATTTTGTAGGTTGAAGAGCGAGTCAGGGTTTTGCTCTTGAATAGCTCGGGAGCGGCCATGAGGAGGGAGGTGAGTGCCCTGCTCTGACTCGTGCAGCCCGGGCCAGACCCTCGCTCTCCGGGCCCCTAGACATGCTAAGCACTGCTCCGATGTCCAGGGTGATAGTAAGGAAACCGACGCACGACTCGGTTACTTGGCCATGCTGATGAGCATTGTGTTAACTGTGTCCGGGGAGTGTAACTTGGGTGTCTTCCGTGTGTCCCGCAGGAAGGAAAGGGGGTGAGCTGGCGTCTGCTGTGCACGCGTACACGAAGACGGGAGACCCGTACGTGAGGTCGCTGGTGCAGCACATTCTCAGCTTGGTGTCCCATCCTGTGCTGAGCTTCCTTTACCGCTGGATCTACGACGGGGAGCTCGAGGACACTTACCACGAAGTAAGGAACGCCCTTCCAGCCTCGCACTCGGCTTCAGGAGGTGTGGGTGCCCGTGCTCTCTTGATCTTGTCTCCGTGACGGCTGTTTTCCCTTCACCGGGAAGGCCAGCACGCCGCCTTGAACGCCGTGCATGGTTTGTGCAGACCTTTGAAAGCCAGTTCCCTCTGAGCAGCAGAGCTGTGGGTGCTCGGTGGAAAATTATTACCCCGGTTTTAACGGTGGGAAATCGGGAGCTTCCATCCCCTGCCTGGGACTAGGACTAGGTCTCCGCGTGCCTCCCCTCATTCTCGTGGGGAGCATCACGTGCTCTGTGGCTCTGCGAGATCAGCACAGGAGTTAGACTTGGACGTCTGTGGTGCCAGCGGTTTTAGTGGAGTCTCTGTATGTGCTGTGGGCCCATAGACAGTTCTGCTGGAAGGCAGCGTGTGTGTCCCTGAAGACCCTGCGCTCTGCAGTCACACGGTAAAACCCACAGGTGCTCTGACACGGAGCAGGGGAGGGGCGGCACACCCGCAGCCCTTGTCAGTGACACTCAGGACAGGACAGGAGCCTCACAGAAGGTGTGGTTCCGTCGACACACGTTACGTGGCTACGCGTCCTTGCGTTCTGAGTGAGTATGGCCTTTACCTCGAAGAAGCGCGCTGTGGGCCTGTGGCCGCGGCGGGGGAGGCTCACCTGCAGCGCAGCGGGGGGCTGCGGCCGCAGGGGCGCAGGAGGGATGGATGCGGCTAGTGGAGTGTGGGGTGTCTGCGATCTGTGCATCCCTGTGCTGGGTTCCTGTTCCCCCTGGTTTCTCGTGGATGAACTTGATGGAAGCAGTCATGAAATGCGCGTTGTGCTCCCGTAGTTTCCTGATAGGCCAGTCATGCTGGAACCAGTGGCTTTTAAAACAAGCACGGCTGCAGAGCCAACTGTGGGGGTTGGTTTTGAGGGGTGCTTTCGAAGCACTCAGTGGCATCTCCAGGTGCAGGTGTGGGTCGCTCATCGCGTCTTGTGGCTCCTTCCGTGGCGGTGTTACCATTGTCCTTTAGTGCTACACATACTAACGTGGACGTCCCACTTGCCACGTAGCAGCTCTTCTGATGGACGTTCTGGTCTTGCTAGTTGTAAACCTTTTGAACATCCTTGAAAAGAACATCCTTTCTCGTGCCTCCCTGTATATATTGACCAGTTTCTCTAAGGTCAGCACTGGGAGGTGAGATTGCTCGCTGTTGGGGAATGCATCCTTTAAATTTTGGTTCTGCCCTTTCCAGCTCTGGGGTGGCCCTGCTGGTCCCCCCGCAGTCGGCGCTCTGTGGCTCCTGCTGCTCCAGCCTGGTCAGCACTCACTACTCCGTTCTCGGAAGGGTCTTTACTCCACTGTGTGGTGTGCAGCATCTCCTGTGATGTGTTTTACTGGTTACTAGTGAGATTGGCCAGCTTTTTGTGTTTATTGGTTATTTTTATTCTACTAATTGCCATGCCTGTCCTTTGCCCATTTTCCCAATGGATTTGTCTGTCTTTCTAGACTTGAATCATGGGATGGTTTTATACATTTGGATATCTTGTGTCTGTGATTGCATTTTTAAAATTATTTTTCTTCTGTTTATTTTCACATTATTTCAGACTTAGAGAAAAGTTGTGAGTTGTACAGAGAGTCACAGATTCGACTGCTGACCCTCCCCCAACATTCCTTTTGCCACATCTACCGTATATACCACATTCCAGCGTGCAGCACCTAATGGGAAATAGATGCAGTCCCAAATTCTTACTGAAGTTGGACTTTATCTCATTCCCAGATAAAACAGAGTCGAGATTTTCCTGGAATGACATTTAGAAATAAAAGATTTATATAGGAAAAAAAGTTAAGATTATAAAAAGATGCAAATTGCCCCTTTTTATTAATAAAAAATTTGTATCCCACCTCCTTCCCCACCCAATAATTAATATGTAAATTATATGAATTTGGGTGATACTAACTTTGAATAGCTGCCAGTTGACTTGAACCTGATTTTCTTCAGAGGTTGGGGTAGGAATTGTTGTCTGGACCCTACTGGCATATATATTGCTACCAATTAAAAGTTAGAGCCACAAATTGGCTCATTATCTTTTTTAAATTTAGTACCTAATTTCTAACTTGTAATACTTTTGTCTTTTTTTCTTGAGAATCATTTAGTTTGCATTTTCTAGCAGTGAGGTTTTTCAGGTAGTCCTTAATTATACCACTAATTCATTGTATGCATTTGTGTTTTTTTTTTTTTTAAAGATTTTATTTATTTATTTGAAAGAGAGAGAATGAGAGAGAGCACATGAGAGGGGGAAGGGTTAGAGGGAGAAGCAGACTGCCCGCTGAGTGGGGAGCCCGATGCGGGACTCGATCTCGGGACCCCAGGATCGTGACCTGAGCCAAAGGCAGTCACCCAGCCCACTGAGCCACCCAGGCGCCCCCAGCCATCCCATCGTTTTGCTAAAACACATGGTTCCTGGTTTTGATGTTTTATCTTCTCACTGAGGGCCTTCTCGGCTGTGCATCCTGTGAGGCATGGGCAGGACTTGGGAGGTGGAGAGAGTGATGTTGGGGAAGGGGACCTGGAATTCCTGGGCGGCGGTCTGGACTGTGGGTGACAGAGCTAGAGAGAGGAGGATGGTGGGGGGAGGTCAGCAGGGGCATTGTGGTGCGGGCCAGGAGAAAGGGGCAGGTGGTGAGGGGTGGCGCCGGGGTGTGGAGGGTCACGGGGGCCGGTGGCTGGCCGGCCTGCGCAGGAGGCGACCGTGGTCGGGAGGGTTTGAATCCTGGAGGAGGTTCTGTGTCGCCGGCATGGGTTAGTAACTGCTTTACGAGGCTGCTTCTTCTGATGGTCCTCCAGCTCTGGTGCCCGGTACGCTTGAGGTTTTATGTCGGAATCAGGGCTCTTGAGATTTCAGAATCTAAGATAACAGGGTCTGAAGTGGTTTAGAAGCATCTAAAACACCTGTATGCTGGAGTTGTTTGCCCTGGTTGCCCAGCAGACCTCCCCCCACCCTTCCGTGCCCGGCTCTGGGCTGTGGGGGGCCGCCCCTGCTTGGCTTCACCTGGAGCTGACAGGGTGCACGGACAGCGAGGCCGAGCTGCTCCACCCCTTCTGCCAGGCAGCGGCTTGGCGCTGGCTCCACGGTGCCCCTGGGCTGTGCGGACAGCCCCCACCCCCCCACGCCCTGCTATCTGGCTCTGGGGAGCCATGTCCTCCCCAGGCCCTCAGGCTCCTTGCTGGTCACCAACCTCTGCACTGTCCCCACATCGCACGCTCTTCGGGCTGTTCTTCTGTTAACAGAAATGGTGCCTCCTCCTTCACAGATGCCATTTGCTGGGGTTTTGGTGCACAGTTTTATTCGCTTTTCTAATTTCCTCTGCTCTCCACCCTGTATGTTGTCATTATTTTTTCAAGCCAGAGCTGTGGGTCTAACCCGGGACTCCCGCTGCGCTGGTAACACTTGAGCTGTCTCCCGAGGCCCGCGGGCATCCGTACCCGCTCTCCCCCGGGGCCCGGTGGCTCGGTGCCCTGGGACCTGGAAGGAGCACTTCTGTATTTTCTCGTCTCATACCCCAGGCGGCCGTTCACAGCCATGCTCTTTCCTCTGTGTTTTCCTCTTTGGTGAGTGATGACATCGTCTGTTGCCCAGAGTTAGAAACCTGGGTGTCACATTGAGGCCGCCTCTCTCCCCACGGCCGCTGTGTCCCCAAGTCTTGTTAAATGTTCCCCTCAGGCCTGCCTCTCATCTGTCCCCTTTGGAGTCAGGCAGACCTTGGCTCTGTGATGTAGGTAGGTGATTAAGGTTTTCACCTTTGCTTCTGTCATTTGCGGAGCGAAGAGACTAAAGCCTGTGTCCCCGCGTGGTTGTGCCGATGGCCGGAGGTGACGTGTGGAGGACGTCCCCCCGTGCCTCCTGTAAGTGGCAGTGTGCTGTTAGCTGATTGCCCCCGACCCTTCCAGGAGATGGGATCTGGTGAGGAGCGGCCCTTTGGAGGCGGGTGGGTAGGCCCCAAGGGTCCCTGAGCCCTGGGAGCCCGGGGCCTGCCCGCAGGGGGCCGTGAAGGTTGGGTGCATGCTGGGTCACCGAGTGCCCACCTCGCCCTAGGCTGTGTCCTCCCAAATGACTGCAGTTTCCTGTGCATCTCGTTTTGTCTCCAATGCCTCCGGGGACTGTTAGCAGGTAGAGTCAGGCCTTCAGAGGCTTTCTGCTGTCCCATTTCTCGGTCCCACACAGGAGACCCCTTTGTCTGATGGTTCATTCCATTTTCAGCGTCCATGTTCCTGCCTGGCTTTAGCCGGGTTTATCTGTCTTCAGTTACCCGAGAAGGCCATGCCTGCTCCCTCCTCTGCATGTGCATCACCCAATCTTCTAGGAGACCCTGTCCTCTCTGGGGGTCCTTTCATAAGTGATGGGCCACTTCCGTGACCCCCCAGCCCCCATGTCTGAGATGTCACGTATCCACCAAAGTGTGTCTGCTCATCTGTCTCTTTGCCACCAGAGTGAGGACTCTGTCAGGGCTGGTGAGTTTATTATTTCTGGAAAATCACGTGTAAATCAGTTTTTTAAGTTAGACCATGAGTTAAATACCTGAGATGAGCTTTTTCTTTAAAAAAAACTTTCAAGGCATATTTTATATAATGAAGAACCTTGTGTAAGGTAAATAACCTTCCCATAGTTTTCTAAATAAAGGTATTTATGTATTCTAGCTTGTGCATCCAAAAGGTAAGGCCATATGAATAGAGTAGAAATGCTCTGTAAATTTGGGAAAAAGTGTATTGAGGGTGGGCTGCTGTTAATGGTTGTGAATCAGGCTGGAGTGATAGACAAATGGAAGTTAATGAAATCCATATGACAACCTTACATAGAAACCGGGGGCGTTTACTAGTTCTGGCAACTCTTACTTCAGAATTTTGAGTTTAGGTATTTGTGACGCTGAGACTTACGTTGTGTGCTTTAGAATTCCTTTTTTTTTTCTTTCTATAATGCTCTTTTATGGCCTAAATGGCACTTTGATAAAGGGGGGGAAGAGCATTCACCTGTTTTATGATGGCATTTTTCTTATAATCACTAAGGAGGGCACGTACTGCATGGAGTACGAAAACAATGAAGCGTGGATCACTACATCAAACACTAATGATGTATTGTATGGTGACTAATAACATAATAAAATAAAATTAAAAAAATAATCACTATGTTTAGGAAGTTGGTTATTCTAACAATTACTTTAAGGGGGACTTGCTGTTATTCCGGAATCTGAAATAGGGTAATTCAAAAACATGTTCTCATTAGGGACTTTGGAGTTAGTTTTCAGGGGGTAATGATCTACTGAGATGTTATTTCCAGACTTCTAATGGGTAGTGCTGTTTGCAATACCTGAAAAATGAGCACACTTAGAATTGTTACCATGTGAATTTTAAAAATTGCGTTTCTATTTTGGAAATAAGGATAATTTAGGAGAAAGGTAGATAAAACTGGAGAGTAGTGCAAACTTGTTCTTTTAATGTTTTCTTTTTAAACAGGGAGTTTTGAAAAATAAATGGTCAATTCTCTACCTCTTGCTAAGCCTTAGTGAAGATCCACGCAAGCAGCCGAACAAGGTGAGAGGCTCTGTTTGAGCAGCTTAGTGCCTTTTTCTTTTAAAGATTTATTTATTTATTTTAGAGAGAGCCTGCACTGGGAATGGGGTAGGGGGAGAGGCAGAAGGAGAGGGAGAATCCCAAGCAGACTCCCCACTGAGCAGGGAACCCGACATGGGGCTCCATCCCATGACCATGCGATCATGACCTGAGCTGAAACCAAGAGTTGGATGCCTAACCGACTGAGCCCACCCACGTGTTCAGTGCCTTTTTAAAGCACACTTAGTGTCTTGTTGGATCAACTATACCAAATTTTGATAGGAATTGGCTTCTGTACTTAAGAAAATAATAAGAGAAAAAAATAACTTGTCTAGTGTTCTTGGTAGTCATGGAAGGTCAAGAGATTTTCTTTTCTTTATTTTTTTAAGATTTTATTTATTTATTTGTCAGAGAGAGAGAGAGAGAGGACACACAAGCAGAGGGAGAGGGAGAAGCAGACTCCTCACTGGGCAAGGAGGAGGCCAATGCGGGGCTCGATCCCAGGACCCCGGGGTCATGACCTCAGCTGAAGGCAGACGCTTAACGACTGAGCCACCCAGGCGCCCCTCTTTCTTTCTTTAGACAGGGCACTCACTGCTTTTCCTAAAGATGTTTTCCAGAGTGACATTATTACCTCAAATATAACAGTGTCCCATGGAATAGAGCATAAAAACAGTTTTCACAAGTTACTAATAGGAGCACAGCTGTAATTCTGTATGAGTTAGAGGACCTTTCAGGTTTTCTCGTGTCTTCAGATCTCATTACGAACATTAATTACTGTCATACCAGTGCGAACTTCGTTGTCCTGTGGGCTCAGTCTCTGGCCCATGTGGTGTTGGGAAGAGCTTTCTGGCTGCTGTGAGCCTGGAGTTTCTCGTGTGAGGAGGTGCTCTACACACAGACTTGCGCGCCTCCAGGGGGGCAGGAGTGGGGTGCAGGAGGCCTGTTTATGTTGAAAGTCTCCGTCTGAGTAATGAGCCCTCTTGGATCTTAGAATAATGCCATACCTGCAAAAATACTGGAGTAATTATTTGGGATTTAATTTGCTTGGATTCTAAAGAATGTGTTGGTTGTCAGACCATGTGGCAGTTTTGGAGTTTAGAAAACTTTCTGAAACTTTATCAATTCTGCCATATTTCATAAGTATAACAAATTATTGAGTACGAAATCAATTACAGAAAGAACTAAAATCTGAATATTCCTATCTTTATTGATTTGGGAAGTGTTCTGTAATTTTATATCTCTGTATTCTTTTTTTTTTTTTAAGATTTTATTGTTTTAGAGAGAGTGAGCGCACAAGCAGGGGGAGGGAGAGAGAGAAGCAGACTCCGCACTGAGTGTGGAGCCCGACGCAGGGCTTAATCTTAGAACCTGAACCGAAACCAAGAGCTGGACGCTTACCCGACCGAGCCGCCCAGGCGCCCCTGTATCTCTGTATTCTTAATGGACTCCATTTTCAGGTTTCTAGCTACGCTGCGTTACTCGCTCACGCGCTACCAAGAGACGCGCACTCGGCTCCCTACTACTGTGCCAGGCCCCAGACTCTCTCGCTGAGCTACCAGGACCGCAGCTCCCAGTCGGCCTCGGGCGCTGCCAGCGTGGGAAGCAGTGGCGTCAGCAGCCTAAGTGTGTACGCCGTCAATGGCCTGGCCCCGACACCACAGTCTCTCCTCCCAGGGTAGGTCCGGCTTGCACACACACGGCGCTTAACCGGTAGCAAGAGCAGAATCCCCAGGCTTCTGATGAGGCATTTGTGCGTTCCCTGAAACTCTTCAGAGCCCTGCGTGTGCCAGGAATGTTCTAGGCACTGCGTCCGGTACGCTTCCTCTTAGGATTTTATTCTTTCCAAGAACTCGCGTTTCACGTGGGAACTCTTCCTCTTCCAGTCACAGTTGACTGTAATGATTTTTGGTCTACTCGTACCCTGTTAATGCAAGTACATATGAGTAAAGGCCCTGGTTCAGAAATGTGACAGGATGGGCCTTCCATTTTGAGGTAACCGATTGACATTTCCTTTGCTGTATTCCCGTATTTATCTCTCAGTGAATATTGTCCCCTTCACTGATGTGTGCTATTCTCTTTATTGAATTATTTAAAAAACAAGTGAACTAAAATAAAGCTGTCTTGTCCTCAAGTGCTGATGAGATCTTCTTCAGACTGATAATTATGGTGCCGTGTAGTGCTCGTTAATGAAGAGGAGGAGCTCCAGGAACGCACGGGCAACGTGCTGGCAGATCTCATCATGTTTGCAGGAGATGCAGTTTGTGGTTGGGAGTGAAGCAGCTGCTCATACAGCGGTGGACTCGGAACTTTGCTTTTCTTGTCTTTTTACATATTTCTATGCGTAATCGTGTTAAAGCTGACTGTCATAAAATGGGTATTTTTCCAGAAGACCAGTGACTAGAGATTCATGGTCACATGTGTTCCACACGAGCATAGCATCATAGGAAGTTCTCATGTGACGTAAATACAGTTGCGTCACGTCAGTAGAACCTCGAATGTATGCATCATACACGGGTTATAGATGCAGTCTGGTGTTCTAGAAAGATAGCAGAAGAGGTTCTAGAGAATTAATCCCTGACTTGTATTCTGGCTAAAAGAGTCAACAGACTTTGTCATTTTTGCCTTAGAATTTGAAGTAATTGTTCTGATATAAAAAAAAAAAACTGTATAGAGAACTTTGAACTGAAGTGGTCCTTTAGAATTTTTCTCTTAAATTTAGAACTGCATTGAAAGTCATAGTTTAACAAGTACTAATGATGACTTTTTTTTCCCCATTGAAGATAGGAGAGAGAAAGGGCTGTTCTCCAGTTTCTGTTTCTCTTCTCACTTCATCAGTGGGTGACAGATGGGTCCCGCCAGTTTGGCGCTGGAGTAAACCAGTCTGCCCCGTTGAGGCTCGTTTGTGGGGTGCAGTCCTGGGAAGCAGTATTTTTGTTGGAATTGTCAAAACATATGTCCTCAGAAATCAGCTATCGGGTTCTTAGAATTTCAAAGAGCGGCTTTTTTTTTTTTTTAGATCTTATTTGTTTGACAGAGAGAGAACACAAGCAGGGGGAGGGGAAAGCAGAGGGAGAGGGAGAAGCAGACTCCCCACTGAGCAGGGATCCCGACATGGGGCTCGATCCCAGGACTCTGGGATCATGACCTGAGCCAGAGGCAGATGCTTCATCGACTGACCCACCCAGGTGCCTCTCAAAGAGCAGCTTTGTCATATTCTCCAAATCATCAAAAGCTGTCTTGACCTTTGTGCTTTTGCCTTCGACTTTACATTTTTTTGTACATTTGTACATTTTTGAAATTAATTGCAAATTATGATATTTCTTTTCCTATCGAGCACTGCAAATGCTGGGAGACAAGTGAGCATGCAGAAGAGGGGACAGCACACCAGATTTTTAATTTCTGTGGTCAGCAAATGCTGAGCGGGTGAAAGGTGTTAAGTTTGAAGTTAAAATTAGTTGTGAATTTCAAAGTGGTTTTAGAGGAGTAACGTATGTTACGTGTATGTAAAGAAAAGTCAAATAGGTTTTGATTTTTATGCTAAGAAATATGTGGGAGGTGCCAGTAAGAGCCCAAATGCCAGCTTAAAGGTCCCAAAGAGCCCTTGGACTGATAGTTGATGGATTTGGGTAGGGCGGCCGTCACTCACCTAGCTCAGATCTCTAACATTACATAATCCAATATAGTAATGAGCAGAGTTTCCAGCAGTGGTTTGTCTTTCAAGTGAGTAGCCTGGGTGGTTGGAGATATGAAATGCTCTCTCCTTCTTTCAGACAGCCTCATCACGCTCCGGGAGTGGGAGACTGTCTTCGGCAGCAATTGGGGTCACGTCTTGCATGGACTTTAACTGCAAACCAGCCTTCTTCACAAACCACTACCTCAAAAGGTCTCCCAAACGCTGTTTCTCGCAACATGACAAGACCAAGGAGGGAAGGGGATGCAGGTGGTGAGTAAAGATAGACTTCAGTGTAGATTTTCTTGGCATATTTAGAATTTATGCTTCCCTTATTTTAAAATACTGATGAGGAGTCCTTGCTTGCAATTGTTGAGTGGTGGTGGTTCTCATGAGGAGAGGTTCGGAATCCTAAGTGTGGTCTGACATGGCTCGGGAAGTCTGGCAGTGCCTGGGACATTGGAGAAATGCATTGAAGATTTCTTTGGTGGCTAAGTGGACACGTGGAGAGTTTTAAAGCTCCACTAGATCCCAAAAGGAAGCTTGAGTTTCTTTCAAGAGAGCCCTGTGAATAGCAGTGTTTGGAACATAAGCATCTGAGAATAGAGGAATGGGCTTTATTGTTGGCTCCTCATCTGCAGGTTCTGAAATCCCTCTGGCTGCTGTCTGTGCTTACGTGGAAGGTGAGGGCCGGGTGTCTCGTGTGCGCCTGGGGACACGGCCCGGAGCGCGGAGCCCGGCCTGTGCAGCTGCACTTCCCGCCTCTGTCTGTCCCGTAACATGGGACAGCTTGGGGGCGCTTTGGCTGGGGGACTGGCATCCAGACAGTAAGAGTGCCCTTCTCCGCTCCTTTCTGTGTGACTCCTGATCTCTAGCCAGTGCCTTCAAGCCTGTGTAATATACAAAGCTAACAGATAAAGTACATCACAGTGTACTTATCAATCCAAGAGAGCAGGACAGGACGTGCAAAGCTAGAAAGAAGAGCAGGGTGAACAGGAAACATGCTGCAGTGGTAAATTTAAACCAGTCATGTCCGTAGTCACATGAAATGTATATGGATTAGACACTATTTAAAGGACATTTAAAAAATTCTACTTAAACAATTACGTACTGCTCAAAAGAGATGAATTCTAAATATAGAGCCCCAAGTAGGTTGGAAGTAAACGGGTGGAGAAATACATCTTGTAGACACTGACTGCAGGAAGGTGGGGGCTGTGTCTCTGTCGACGGAGACTGTGCTGCGAGTGTTGCCAGGGCCAGAGGGACGTTCCAGACAACGAAGGGGTCCGTTCTTCGGGAAGAGATGATACTCCTGAGTGCATATTCACCTGCTGACAGAGCTTCAGTCGGACAAAGGAAAACTAACAGCCCCACAGGGAGCGCAGACGGACCCACAGTTACAGATGGATATTCCCACTTCTCTCTTAGTAACTGATGGGAAAAAGTAGACAGACCGGTCCATAATGATAGGTAGGTAACATTTGAACAGTTCTGCCAGCAGTTTGATGTAATTGGTATTTATGGAATACTCTCTCCACGACTGAAATACAAAGCTGTCCTCCCCTCTGACTCACTACCCTGGTTCTGGGAGGGCCGACCTTGCCTGTATACTCATTGCGTTTTTCCTCCCACTGATAACTTGAATTTCTGAGCGCTGCCTCCTTATCATTGGGTGACACCTAAAGTCTGACTTAGTTTGTTCCAAGGTTTATGGAAATCATAACTTTTCCACTCTATCCACTCCTCTTCATGTGGTTGAGAATGGACCTACATCTGTCTGCGTGCCGTGTAACAACCCAGTTTTCCAAATGCCGTCTTACGACATAATTACCCATCCCTTCTGATTGATTTGTGCTGTTCTTTTTTGTGTGTGTTGCTCCTTGATGGTATATTAAGCCCCCACATACTGCTTTGTTTGTTCATTTATTTATTTTTTAAGATTTTATTTTTAAGTAATCTCCACATCCAATGTGGGGCTCGAACTCACGACCCCGAGATCAAGAGACGCATGCTCCACCAGCCATGCGCTCCACTGCCTTTTTTTTTTTTTTTTTCCTTTAGGACTTTTTGTATGAGAAATTACCTGCTCTCCATATCCTTTTCAGAAAATTCTTGTTTCTTAGAACTTCATACTTTTTCCATCTTAGGCTCATTTTTTTTAGTTTTAAAATTTTGTCATGGTTGCAGATACGTAATGTAAAACCAGTTGCGTCCTAAAATCTATTCCATCTTAAAATGTGTTGTTTGGTAATTGCTCTCTTATAAAAACCATCTTTCAGGTGCTGGGGAAGTGACCGAAGCAGCCCTTGTCAGAGACATTTTGTACGTCTTCCAGGGCATAGACGGCAAGAACATCAAGATGAGCAACACGGAGAACTGTTACAAAGTGGAGGCCAAGGTACAGTGACTAGCCCCGCCACACCTGCTCGAGCAGGAGAGACCGATGTCAGCCAGGCCAGCTGGGAGCAGTGACAGGGTGGGATTGGGACAGCGGGGCCTGGATCTCCAAACCTGGCTGTGCCGGTCAGGTGCGCGGTCAGGGCCCAGTGTCTGTTTCCTGTGTGCTCCTGGCTCGCGGGCTCATGTTTGGGCCCTTCTCCGTCCGCGTCTGCCTCCTGCGTTCTGTGCCGTGGTGTCGAGAGGTGCCCGAGGGACAGGTACAGCGGGGCATCTTTGCTGTTGACACACAGTTCCAGATAGGGTGCTTCTGCTCTCCTGCGTTCACCTTCCAGAACCTCCTTTCCCACAGCCCCTTCTTGTTGCTGTTGCGGCCTTCTGCAACTCCCAGCTGTCGGAAGAGGTGGCTGAGGACACAGGCCCCTGCCGCGCTGGGGGTGCAACCAGTCACACCTCAGGGTGGTGCCGCCCGAGCCTCACATACGGAGGGCTCTTATTTCCCTTCCAGCACCTGGTGCTTTTGTTTCCCAGAATCTCGTTTTGTCTTTATTGATAGCGTATTAGTCACTTTTAGGTTCCGTGTTGGAACCTAAGAATTATACTGAAAGTACGAATGATTGACAAAAATAATAATTGAAATTCTAGTGTTAATTCTTAACTCTTAATATATTTATTTTTTAGGCAAACCTAAGTAAATCTTTGAGGGATACGACACTCAGACTTGCAGAGTTGGGATGGTTACATAATAAAATCAGAAAATACACTGACCAGAGGAGTCTAGACCGTTCATTTGGACTTGTGGGTCAGGTACGTTCATTGTTACCAGGACGTTTAGGACACCATTCGTTTTGGGGAGTGCTTAGTCTACTTAAAGTCTTATTATGAAAGTAATTTTTAAATAGAGGGTTCTTTTTAAATAAAGAAATTTTGATAATAGAACATTGTAGCCATCGTGTCCCCTTAGGAAAATAGAGACCACAGTGTGTATCGACAGAGATGACCAAATACTGCACATTGTTCATGGTAGCTGTTGGTGGAGTGTGAACACAGAAGAGTACGTAAATGCATTAAAATAAACCTACAGATGACAGATTGTGTATCGCTTTAAAATATGCAGAAAAGTGTGGAGGCTGATGTTTAAAGAAAACAGGTTTTATCCTTTGTGTGTTCTTCCCATTGAGTATGCCTGGGTTTACATCCTAGAGTTCATTCTAGAAAGTTCTTATCTCAGGACTATGTGAAGGTCTTTGTTACAGTTTGTGACTTGACACCTTTGCAGTATTTAAGATCACAGAGGTACGGTGAAGTTTTTAATAATGTGAGTGTGGGAAATGAACGGTAAAAACAGCAACAGTGAAAAATTGGGAGGAACTTGCATGGAGTTGCTAGTTCTTAAATTTTGCTAATTAAAAACATTAGCGAAACTTAGATTTTAACTCTGAAGATTAGAAGGAATGTAATCTTAAAAAGAGTGTTGTCTAAAGTAAATACGCTTTTAGCTGTGATCTGTTTTGTATTTTTTTTCTTCATTTCTTTTCTGCAAAGCTCGTGCTAAGGCATGACACCTCCCTGACGTTGTTGACTGTAGATGTGGTGGTGACGGAGCCTGTGGAGGGCCGTTGATGGGATTTAAACCCTGCAGAGCACCCAAAGTGGTGATGCACTGTGCGCTCCACATGGGCCGATGTGCGAGGCCGTGTCCAGTGGGAGGACAGTGTTGCGCTTCATAATACCTACTTTTTCCTGCAGAGTTTTTGTGCTGCCTTGCATCAGGAGCTGAAAGAATACTACCGGTTGCTCTCTGTTTTACATTCCCAGGTAAACTTTGTATTTTAATTTCTTTGTGATTTGCAGTGTTACAAAATTGCAACTACATAGAATTTTTAAGTTTCTTCATAATTACTTTTAAAAGATAAAAATTTGTTTGCTAATAGTGTTTGTAAGGTCTGGATATCCGTGAAGTTTTGGTGTATTCCAGAGGCAAGTACTGCTCACAGCTGGGGTCCTTTTGCCCAGGTAAACATATCACTAGTAGCTTGAAGGAGCTGCTTTTCTTTCAGAGGGGACATTTGCTTCACGTGCACGTTACGTGGATTAAGAAACAATGGACCTATTTGGTGACTTGTACTTACACGTTACATCTTTATTGTTTCTCAGCTACAGTTAGAGGATGATCAGGGTGTGAATTTGGGCCTTGAGAGTAGCTTGACACTCCGGCGCCTGCTGGTTTGGACGTACGACCCCAAGATAAGACTGAAGACTCTTGCAGCCCTGGTGGACCACTGCCAAGGTTGTTCTGCGTCTCGTGGACCTGTTGTATTTCAGAGAGATTTTAGGGAATGTCATCTATGTTTATTTTTGCGCCTGCTCTCGTGTGTCCTTTCGAATGACGGCCATAAGTATGCCAGTTACATCCAAGCTAATAGGTAACTTACAGGGGAAATAACCAGTTGCTAACACGGCCCCATCTTTGTATTTGTGGAAGCTTAGTATTTCATTGAAATGAAGGAAGAAAGGAAAGGGTCTAGTTTTTCAGGATTTTGTGGTCCTCAGTGCTGTAACTATTCATCTCTATGCCTCTTTTGTTTGTCTCTGACCTAGCAGCCTTTCCTGGGGGTTTCCTCCTCCCAAGATTATGGCCCACGTCTAGGCTCACCAGCTGTGAGTTCCATGCTCTCAAGTGTGCATGTCTGGCTGAGGCCTCTCCTGGGCTCTTGGTCTGCATTTCTACTTGTCTTCTGAACATTTTTTCTCACTGTGCTACCTTGGCCAAGAACCTCTTTATCTTTTCTCTTTGTCTGTAATGCTTGGCCACTGATAGCCTCCACTTAGGATTGCGAGGGCTGAGTGAGACGTGTGAGATGCCCGTGGTCAGCCCCTAGGTCACGGCCCGCGTCTGCTGCCATCCTCCGGCTGGGTGATCCCAGGGCCAGAACTCTTAGCATGTCTGGATCCGACATCACCATGCCCTCCGTGCCCTGCCTCCCCCACCTCCTGGCACCTCCCCTCAAAAAGAGAAAGCAGTGGAACACCGTGAATAATCGTGTCTGTTTTTTCAGATGCTGAGCACCCCCATGTGGGTTCCTACCAGACTGCTCCTCTGTCTTCCCCTTTCACGGTTCACTTAACCCCTCCAGTCCTGGGCCTCCTGCTCCTTCGGCTGCTGACCTCTCTGCCCCTCCCTCACGCACTTTGGAAGCATCTCATTCACATCAGATCACATCAGCCCTTCCCTAAAATCTTTCAGCAGTCTAATAACTTCCCGAATTCTTAACACCAGCTTTTCTTGTGCTTGTGTTTCTGGACCTGCTTTTTGCCACTTCCAGGCTGCTGAGCTGTACCCCCAGGACACAGGGCCCCGTGGGGGTAGAGCCGGCTGCCTCACTGTAAGCCTCGGCCAGACTGGAGGGTGCAGCAGTTCCGCACATTGAGATAGCATATCACACCCGCAGGGAACAGGAGGGAGACAGAAAGCAGTAAAGTGCGAGTATTCTTCTGTAGAACTTCTATGGATATTTATTTGTGTCTTAGAGTGCAGTATCAAGTGTGAATCTTTTTTTTTTTTTTAATTTTTTTAAGATTTTATTTATATATTTGGCAGAGAGAGACACAGCGAGAGAGGGAACACAAGCAGGGGGAGTGGGAGAGGGAGAAGCAGGCTTCCCGCCGAGCAGGGAGCCGGACGCGGGGCTCGATCCCCGGACCCCGGGATCACGACCCGAGCCGAAGGCAGTCGCTTAACAACTGAGCCGCCCAGGCGCCCCTCAAGTGTGAATCTTAATGTGTGTCTCAGTCAGAAAAGGTGAAAGTTCATTTTGTAGGTTGAAGAGCGAGTCAGGGTTTTGCTCTTGAATAGCTCGGGAGCGGCCATGAGGAGGGAGGTGAGTGCCCTGCTCTGACTCGTGCAGCCCGGGCCAGACCCTCGCTCTCCGGGCCCCTAGACATGCTAAGCACTGCTCCGATGTCCAGGGTGATAGTAAGGAAACCGACGCACGACTCGGTTACTTGGCCATGCTGATGAGCATTGTGTTAACTGTGTCCGGGGAGTGTAACTTGGGTGTCTTCCGTGTGTCCCGCAGGAAGGAAAGGGGGTGAGCTGGCGTCTGCTGTGCACGCGTACACGAAGACGGGAGACCCGTACGTGAGGTCGCTGGTGCAGCACATTCTCAGCTTGGTGTCCCATCCTGTGCTGAGCTTCCTTTACCGCTGGATCTACGACGGGGAGCTCGAGGACACTTACCACGAAGTAAGGAACGCCCTTCCAGCCTCGCACTCGGCTTCAGGAGGTGTGGGTGCCCGTGCTCTCTTGATCTTGTCTCCGTGACGGCTGTTTTCCCTTCACCGGGAAGGCCAGCACGCCGCCTTGAACGCCGTGCATGGTTTGTGCAGACCTTTGAAAGCCAGTTCCCTCTGAGCAGCAGAGCTGTGGGTGCTCGGTGGAAAATTATTACCCCGGTTTTAACGGTGGGAAATCGGGAGCTTCCATCCCCTGCCTGGGACTAGGACTAGGTCTCCGCGTGCCTCCCCTCATTCTCGTGGGGAGCATCACGTGCTCTGTGGCTCTGCGAGATCAGCACAGGAGTTAGACTTGGACGTCTGTGGTGCCAGCGGTTTTAGTGGAGTCTCTGTATGTGCTGTGGGCCCATAGACAGTTCTGCTGGAAGGCAGCGTGTGTGTCCCTGAAGACCCTGCGCTCTGCAGTCACACGGTAAAACCCACAGGTGCTCTGACACGGAGCAGGGGAGGGGCGGCACACCCGCAGCCCTTGTCAGTGACACTCAGGACAGGACAGGAGCCTCACAGAAGGTGTGGTTCCGTCGACACACGTTACGTGGCTACGCGTCCTTGCGTTCTGAGTGAGTATGGCCTTTACCTCGAAGAAGCGCGCTGTGGGCCTGTGGCCGCGGCGGGGGAGGCTCACCTGCAGCGCAGCGGGGGGCTGCGGCCGCAGGGGCGCAGGAGGGATGGATGCGGCTAGTGGAGTGTGGGGTGTCTGCGATCTGTGCATCCCTGTGCTGGGTTCCTGTTCCCCCTGGTTTCTCGTGGATGAACTTGATGGAAGCAGTCATGAAATGCGCGTTGTGCTCCCGTAGTTTCCTGATAGGCCAGTCATGCTGGAACCAGTGGCTTTTAAAACAAGCACGGCTGCAGAGCCAACTGTGGGGGTTGGTTTTGAGGGGTGCTTTCGAAGCACTCAGTGGCATCTCCAGGTGCAGGTGTGGGTCGCTCATCGCGTCTTGTGGCTCCTTCCGTGGCGGTGTTACCATTGTCCTTTAGTGCTACACATACTAACGTGGACGTCCCACTTGCCACGTAGCAGCTCTTCTGATGGACGTTCTGGTCTTGCTAGTTGTAAACCTTTTGAACATCCTTGAAAAGAACATCCTTTCTCGTGCCTCCCTGTATATATTGACCAGTTTCTCTAAGGTCAGCACTGGGAGGTGAGATTGCTCGCTGTTGGGGAATGCATCCTTTAAATTTTGGTTCTGCCCTTTCCAGCTCTGGGGTGGCCCTGCTGGTCCCCCCGCAGTCGGCGCTCTGTGGCTCCTGCTGCTCCAGCCTGGTCAGCACTCACTACTCCGTTCTCGGAAGGGTCTTTACTCCACTGTGTGGTGTGCAGCATCTCCTGTGATGTGTTTTACTGGTTACTAGTGAGATTGGCCAGCTTTTTGTGTTTATTGGTTATTTTTATTCTACTAATTGCCATGCCTGTCCTTTGCCCATTTTCCCAATGGATTTGTCTGTCTTTCTAGACTTGAATCATGGGATGGTTTTATACATTTGGATATCTTGTGTCTGTGATTGCATTTTTAAAATTATTTTTCTTCTGTTTATTTTCACATTATTTCAGACTTAGAGAAAAGTTGTGAGTTGTACAGAGAGTCACAGATTCGACTGCTGACCCTCCCCCAACATTCCTTTTGCCACATCTACCGTATATACCACATTCCAGCGTGCAGCACCTAATGGGAAATAGATGCAGTCCCAAATTCTTACTGAAGTTGGACTTTATCTCATTCCCAGATAAAACAGAGTCGAGATTTTCCTGGAATGACATTTAGAAATAAAAGATTTATATAGGAAAAAAAGTTAAGATTATAAAAAGATGCAAATTGCCCCTTTTTATTAATAAAAAATTTGTATCCCACCTCCTTCCCCACCCAATAATTAATATGTAAATTATATGAATTTGGGTGATACTAACTTTGAATAGCTGCCAGTTGACTTGAACCTGATTTTCTTCAGAGGTTGGGGTAGGAATTGTTGTCTGGACCCTACTGGCATATATATTGCTACCAATTAAAAGTTAGAGCCACAAATTGGCTCATTATCTTTTTTAAATTTAGTACCTAATTTCTAACTTGTAATACTTTTGTCTTTTTTTCTTGAGAATCATTTAGTTTGCATTTTCTAGCAGTGAGGTTTTTCAGGTAGTCCTTAATTATACCACTAATTCATTGTATGCATTTGTGTTTTTTTTTTTTTTAAAGATTTTATTTATTTATTTGAAAGAGAGAGAATGAGAGAGAGCACATGAGAGGGGGGAGGGTCAGAGGGAGAAGCAGAC